CATGTCCAGTCCGCCCTGCCAGACCTTCTCCCAGCCATAGTGACGAATGCACTTTTTGCGTGTTAACCGGCAAAATAACTCGTTCACAGGACCTTCATTGTTATCCACCGTATGAAAAGGGTCGTCCTTGTAGCGATGCGGACAACCGCAAACCTCGTCTTCGCCAGCTTTTGCGTCCTTGAAGTGTTCCGGACACAGTACCTTAAGTCTAAAGGGAACAAAGGACAGGTTATACAAAGTGAACAACAAGCTATNGTCGTCTTTGTAGCGATGCGGACAACCGCAAACCTCGTCTTCGCCAGCTTTTGCGTCCTTGAAGTGTTCCGGACACAGTACTTTAAGTCTAAAGGGAACAAAGGACAGGTTATACAAAGTGAACAACAAGCTAACAATTACGTACCGTCTACAGTAGTTTCCTTGCTTCGGGTGATAAAAGTTGCAAAAAATGTCTCTGTTAACTATTTGCGTCAGTGTATTCGGTTTGATACTGGAGACATAGGTAGATGATGCTTCAATTTTATTGAAACAACGCTCGGTGTGTTTTAAAAACTGAAAAGTAGAAAAGATTAGTTGGTTGAGCTGGGGCAAAATATTTCAAAGTACACTTACCGCCTTCAGCGACACATCTTGCGGGCAGCAAAAACAAAATACTTGATAGTCAGTGTCGGGATCATTTTCCAGAACTTTTTCCGATTCCTCTTCGGTGTACGGCTGACACAGTTTTCCTTGTTCCAAAATTGCGTCAAACTCGGCTTGTTTAACATCAATTTCTTTCAAATCGGCATTGATTTTATTAAACTCCAACCGGATTTCCTCGAGTGTGTTATGAGACAGCTTATCTGCTGCACAAGGTATCTTCTGCCAGTCGGCAATTCGTTTAGGCAGAATTTCCACTAGTCGATCTTTTGCCAGTCGAACGCCACACTCATCGCTGCAGTATTTGGATCCTTTTCGAGCCGAATTGATGCACTTTGGTCCGAAGCAGTGTCGGGGAACTTTGGACTTTAGCTCATCCAGTTCGTCATCGTGATGTGTTTTGTGCTTTCCACGGCGATGATGCTCCTTCTGTGACTTTTTGGTATCGTTCTTTTTAACACCACGTCCGCGGCCTTTATTGCTCTTTGTTTTGTTACTTTGACCCTTCTTTCGTCCTCGTTGCTTTGATTTACTTTTGGACTCCTTTTCAGCATACTTCCTTGGTCGCCCTTTTTTAGCTTGCCCCTTTCGTTTAGAGTTATCGCCCCGTGAAACTTTAAATTCGTCATCATCATCATCATCATCGAAATCTTCATCGTCCTCTTCATCTTCAGGTTGGTAGTTGTCTCTCTCTTCGTCCGAATCCATCCTTTTGGGTGGCATTTTAAGTTTACTGTCAAACGGGAAGTTGTTTTCTTTTTCGACAACCCTTTCGTGATCCTTGAGATGAACTTGTTCAGCAGCTTTGGCAGCCAATTTAGCAGCCTTCTCCTTTTTGGCTCTCTCCCTTGATGCGTAAGGCTCTTTGAGGACGATTTCAAGTGTTGGGTCGTTGCTTCGACATGCGTCGCAATAGTACTTATCAACTTTTTTCGAGTAGGTCCACGTGACCTTTACGCATTCACCGTGAAACCACTCAAGACATTTGTCACACGCAATCATGAATTGACTCATGCGAGGTGAACGACAGATGCAGTAGAGAGTTGGTCCTTCCTCTTTTTTGCTGCCTTCATCATCATCATCAGAATCTTCAAACACTTTTCGCTTTTGCCCTCGATTCTTTTTCTGCGTTTGCTTAGATTTTCGCCTGGCAAATGCATTGTCATCACTGTCGTCATCATACTGAGAGAGATCGTTTTTCAGGTTATGGTGAAAAGATTTAGAAGTATATTCACGACTTGAGTCAGAATCTGAATCGTACTGTCTTCGGTGGTGAGAACTGGACGCTGCCCTGTACGAGCTGTAAGACGATCTTGATGAATCGTCTTCCATCTCTAGAATAATTTTAGTGTTAATAACTGCTCTAATATTAAAGGTAAAATGAGATACCTGTCTGGTTTTCAAAACTCTGGAGCAAAAAATAAAATCCTCAAAAAATCCAAACAAGATTTGCCAAAACAACAACACATCTGCTGTGGATATAGGCAAGTTGAAATACCAAAATCTGAGCAGTCTAATTAATTGAAGCTGATCAATGATAAGCTGGTAAAATGTATCAAAGGTAAACTAATTAGTACTTTTACAGCCTTGTCCTTATCAGCTGTGAAATAATATTCGAGAAAAAGATCATTTTATCCTGAGCCCATTCACAGAGGACGTAGTGAGCTGTCAACTGAGCTTGGGTCAAAAAGTCAAGGCGGATGCTAAATCCCAACTTTTGCCTCTTTTGCACTGTGGCTGTTGCGTTCATCTGTCTGTCCGCCTTTCTTTGATCTGTGCAATGAAGAAAAAGTTGGGATTTTGAGTTCGCCCTGACTTTCTTGCCTCTAGTTTGGGTGTATGCATTTGGCCGATAAACTCAAGTTGCCGACAGTCTGTTTGCCTCGTTTTGTTTTGCAATCAAATACGGTGAAAGATAAGAGAAACTGCTGTTGTTAGGATTCAATATCCTGCCTCAACTGCTGCTGCTGCTCACCACTGTTGGCTGATTCGGTGAACCGTCAAGTGCCAGGAGAACCCAAAAGGTCGCCTGAAGAGGAGTTTATACTTGAAAATCAGTTCAGCCGGCCCGGTGCCAGTTTTGCCCATTTATTCATCCGACTCCCCACTTTTGCTTCCTCCTCATCACGACGACACTTCTTTAGGGTAAGGCGCTGAAAGGCGTGGTCGTTCTGTCATTTGTAACCTTTTTTCATTTTGGTTCTCGCAGCCTAATGTCGGCAACACTTCGCCCGTATTTACAAGCCGTCAGGCGAACCCTGGAAGCGGCAATATGTCTGGTCAACTTCAACTCACAAGTGGTGGAGCGGCACAACAAGCCGGAGATTGAGTTGCGTTCCAGTAAAGAATTGCTACTTAACTCTGTGATTATTTCACGCAATGAGCGAGAACGTGTGCTGATTGAGTCCAGCATCAACTCGGTCCGAATTTCCATTGCAATCAAACAGGCGGACGACATTGAAAGTATTCTGGCTCACAAGTTCACTCGCTTCATGATGATGCGTGCCGACAACTTTGTGATACTTCGTCGGAAGCCGGTGAAAATGTCCTTCAGCGCAAATGGCGGTCAAAACACTGGCACCTTGACCCTCAACAAGACGCCCACCGGCTCGTACACGTCAATCAACGGCTTCAAAGACGCCAACGGGGGCACCGGTGGAGCCAACTTTGACTACGACATTTCCTTCTTGATCACCAACTTTCACACTGAATCCATGTACCGGTACAAGCTAATTGACTTTATTATTCATTTTATGGAAGAAATCGACAAGGAAATTAACGAGATGAAGCTGGCCATCAATGCTCGAGCGCGTATAACTGCGGAGGAGTTCTTAAAGAAGTTCTGAGCAGTTCCTGCCATGTCAGCCTTTTCTTTCTGTACAAAAAGCAACCCTTTTATTATTATCTTGGTTACATCATTTTAAAACTAATCTATTCAGTTACTATTTCAGTGCATCCCTTGACACGCTTGCAAATCAACGGTTAAAAGTTTTTCATTTACTGCTCTAACGAACATACTGAAAATTGCTCACAACATTTTTACCAAGGTTGTAATTTCTAATTTCAGATTGTGAAAACAATAAAGCAAGTGACCACCGAAAGACACTGATGTCCAAGGCGAGTGTTTATTTTTTAGGAATTTTAGGCACCTGGTGGATGGTTTTCCTTCAATCGGGAACAATTATCAAAAGGAGTTCAAATCTTCAATTCAAGTCGAAGACCTTCAAAAACTGCTTCACAATTAAACTTCCGCTTCTTCACAAGGTAAATTGTAAAACAGGTATACATGTTATACTTTTTGTTATTTTTTAAAATCTCTCGCATGGATACTGCACTTACTGAATGCAATTACTGTTTTCTATCTCATGGCACCGGCTCATTCAGGGTTTCACGCGACAGATTGCCGTTTTGTTTGTTGTCGTAATGCCAAACGGTGGTGGTGGTATTCTTCTCATTGCCGTTTATCGCCTGGCAAGCCTATGAGAATGCAGCCTGCCTCTGTGTGCCTTTTGAATGTGCTTCGACCTTCCGCATCGAGCACTGCCGTCGACGTGTGAATTGCAATTTCGAATTGACTCGTCCACCACCAGGTCTGCTGTTGCCTTGTTACTACGGTGGTGGCTGCCGCCTCAGTGCAACGACATACACAAAAAATAGGTCTCCCACCACCTTCATCATTGCCATCATTGAACAAGTGCACACTTCTTCTCAATAGCCTACCATTGAGAAGGAGGAGGAGGA